TTCTGGCCTGACCCTGCTCCTGAGGTGGAAGATTTGGTGCAGTGACAGAGTCGTGTGAAATACGCATCCGGTCAGAGGGGACCCCAGAGGCTGGTGCTGCCAAGCCCTGAGTGCACCCAGCCTCCCCTCTGTCTCCTCAAGTGGGAGGAGGGCTTCATTGACGTGTAGGGCCACCTTTGCTCTGCTCAGGAAGCCAGAGAGCCAGGGACCTGGAACACGTGCTTTCTGAGATGCAGTGAAGATTCTGCAAAATAAACCTGGTTAGGAAGTTCACCAGACTGGCGCTCCTTCTCAGTGCATAACGCTTCCAGGGGGCATGTGAGTCTTCAGTTGTACTCTGTCTGACCATCTGTCTCTTGGTTCTGAGATGCGCTGTGCAGAGACCTGCGTCGCGCTACTGAAGCCCCTGCAGGGTGGCAGCTGCTAGCTCTTCCCCAGCCTGGAGCTGGAGAGGGAACCCTTTGGCCTGAGCCTGGCAGCTGAAGGCAAGCTGGAGACAGGCCTCAACTCGGTATTCCTGGGGCAGGCACTAGGCAGGGGGTCTTCATGGAGGCAGGGGCACAGCAGCTGAGGGGGGGAGCGGGCCATGACACCCCTGTACCTTGCTCCTGTGTCTGCCCGCATTAGCCCAGGGTGGCTTTGCAGGAGCCACATGATGCTGCTGAGCAGAGGCAGGACCCCCCAACCCCCTCCCCCTCCCAGGTGCATAGTGTCCTAAGGCCAGGAGCATCTTTTCATGTGCTTATTTGCCCTCTGTGTATCTTCTTTGGTGAGGTGTTAAGGTCTATTAAGGTCTTTGACCCATTTTTTAATGAGGTTGTTTGTTTTCTTATTGCTCAGTTTTAAGAGTTGTTTGTATATTTTGGATAACACCATCCTTTATCACATGTGTCTTATGCAAATATTTTCTCTCAGTCTGTGGCTTATCTTTTCATTCTCTTGACAGTGTCTTTCACAGAGCAGAAAATTGTAATGAAATTCAGCTTACCAAGTCTTCCTTTCATGGATTATGCCTTTGGTGTATCTAAAACCTTATCGCCAAACCCAAGATTACCTAGATTTTCTCCTATGTTGTCTTCTAGGAGTTCTATAGTTTTGTATTTTGTATTTGGGTCTGTGATTCATTTTGAAAGAATTTTTATGAAGGGTGTAGGGTCTGTGTGCAGATTCATTTTTTTGCGTGTAGATGTCTAGTTGTTGCAGCACCATTTGTTGAAAAAGACGATCTTTTCTCCATTGTATTACCTTTGCTCCTTTGTCAAAGATCAATTGGCCACATTTATATGGGTCTACTTCTGAGCTTCTCTTCTGTCCCATTGACCTATTTGTCTTTTCTTTCACCAATACGACATTGTCTGATTGCTGTAGCTTTATAGTAAGTCCTAGAGTCAGGTGGCATCAGTCTTCCAACTTTATTTTCTTTTTTCGTATTGTGTTGCCTATTTTAAGTTGGCTCTTTTTTTAATAATTTTCATTTCCCTGGTAATAGTTTCTATCTGTTCACTCATCAAGACAGTTCTTTTGTAATTAATTTAATGCATTTCCTTTCTTTTTTTCTTTTTTTACATATTTAAATAGCTGCTTTAAAGTCTTTGTCTGATATGTTCAACATCTGTGCCGTTCTGGGTCAATTTCTATTAACTACTTTTTTCCCCCTTGACTCTGTGTCATAATGTATTTCTGCTTCTCTGCATGTCTAATAACGTTTTGTTTGTGTGCTGGACAGTGTAAATAAAATGTGTTAGAGACTCTGATTCTATTATTTTGCTTTGGAGAGTGTTCACTTTTGTTCTCTCAGGCAGTTCAGTTACTTGTGTAGGTTTGGCCTGGTGCTCTGTTAGGGCAGGTCTGTGGAGAGCCTGGGTCATTCCAGGCTCCTCTAATGTGGTGGGACCAACTTCCAGACTCGTAGGGCCTGGTTTCCAGCTTCGTCACAGTAGGCCTGGAGTGGGCCCTGCCCGAAGGTGTAATCCTCATTCCTGAAGCCAGGCCATGTGGCATCTCAGTGAGTATTAGGTTGTCACGTAGTCTTTGCACTCAGGCCCGGCTGGACATGAGTTCACCGTTGGTCTCGTGTCTGTTCTGTTTAACCCTGTAGCAGCCACTGTCTGGTAGACCGGGTGTGGTGCCCTGAGCAGGCACAGCCCAGCCTCACACAGAAGCCATGGGACACACACGGCACTGAGCCCCTGCACCAGCTCCCTCTGTGCCACTGCCATGCCCTCGGGTTCAGCTGCTCTCGCTGCCCCACACCCTGACCCCTGACCCCTGCCTCCTCGGCTCCCATAGCGCTGGGCGCCACCTGGACTCGTGGCAGGGACATTTCCCTGGGTAGAGAGCTGCTGGGGCATTTGGGAGTTTTATCCATCAGCTGCCCTTCCCTCCTGCTGTCCAGCGCCGGGACACGGTTGCTTAGCATATTTTGTCCACTTTGATGGTTGTTTACAGCAAGAGGACTGGCCTGGTACCAGTTACTCCATCAGAGCCACTTTCCTATTCTTGCCTCATGAATGATAGGATTGTTTATTTGTTGAACAGATATTCATAATTCTTTACTGTGAATTGTGCCCTTTATCATTGTTAAGTATGGTATATAGTCTGACTCAATGCTTTTGGCTTTGAATTCAGTCTTTCCTAAGATTGGACCCCTATTTCTCTTGTCTGCAGTTTCCTGGTGTATCTTTGCCAATCGCTCTTTTGTCGTCTCTCTTCTACATACCACAGATTTGGATTTAACTTTGGGTTCTAATCATGAATCTGTTTTTATTCCTTTACGGAGAAGCACAAGGGCAAATACTAGGAAACAGGTACCTAATGTCTGTGGTTCGGGGAGGGGGGGGGCAGGGAAGAGGAAATAATGTTTTGTCATTGTTTATAGTGTGGTATCAGATAATCTCAAATATGAGGTTGACTATTGTATCTTTTCCCCAAATGACAAAAGATGAGAAAATCAGTGAACTTAACATCCTGTCTCTCTCGCTACCCTCCCATATTCCTGTTAGTTACATAACCGGTTCTATAGTCATAATCCCCATATTGTTTTAGACCTAATCCTACAGGTAAGTAGATTCCATGTTCCCTGCCAGGCCATTTGCTGTAGTTCTCCAATTCTCTCTTAGGAGACTGGGGTTAATCTCCTAGTCCTTCAAGAAGAGCTTATGGGAGCATATTCTTTGAGTTCTTACATGTTCAAAATTGCTTGTCTATTGTTTTTATACTTGAGCGGCAGTTTGGCTGGATATAAAATTCTTGGGCCATGCCTCCCTTCACAGCCTTTGCAGGCATCACTCTGCTGTCTGCTGGCACAGACATGGCTGTGGGACATTCTGAGGACAGCCTAAACCCTGCTCTCATAAACCAACTCGCTCTGCTTGCCTGACTACCAAAGGGACTTCTTTAGCCATTACGTCCAATGATTTTGCTGGACATATCTTAACACTGACTATTCTATAACCTTTCTTTGGACTTTGATCACAAGACTTCAATTTCTAGAAATTAAAATTGATTTTCTAAATCAGTGAATGCTACAGCATCTCTGCCTGTCTTCCATGTCTATTTTCTGTCCAGTCCATTGTAGCTCTTTGTTTACCTTTCATTGTGCTCACTTGGTGCCATTCCTGCTTTCACTGTCTTATTACCAGTCTCCAAGTCTCCATCTGCTGTTTCCAGTTCCCCTTCATTTCTCTGAGTTTTCCTTCCACCTCTTCCTGTGCTCCACCAATTCAAGTTTCCTCCTCTGTTTTGCTGCTTTGGGTTTTATAGATGTAACTGCTTCATGAAGTTTTGTTTGTTAATTTATGGCTAAAATGCTTGTTGACAATTTCCATTTGCTTCCCAGGAATGTTGCCATTTGTTTTTCCACATTTCTTTCCTTCTATTTCATGTGTTATCTTTGTAGAAATGGGTGATTCTCAACTGAGGTGGCGGTGGCCCCATTGGGAGGTGAATTAGGAGGAAAAGGGGTGCTGGTGAGGGACAGCAAGGTGACTTCTGGGTGGTGAGAGCTCGTGACGCACAGGGCTAGGCCGAACACAGCAGCAGTGGAAGGAAGTGGCCATTTGGGTTGTCACAATGATGGCAAGGTGCCTGTCAGTTAGCTTGTGGGGAAAGAGATACCAGATGCCCTGCAGTGCACTACACAGTCCTGTGTGACCAAGAGCAGCGTGACCAGGGGCAGCTCTGGTTGCAGGAGGCACCTGTCAGGGAGGGGTCATCACCTAGCGCTGAGCCGTATGGGGCGCTCAGCCCCAGAGAGGTGTCAGCCCTGCACATGAACGGGATGTGCCTGTGCAACTCCATGATTTGTGCCAACATCTGCCTTCGGGGACCCAGGCCGGGGACTGAGGCTTTTCCCGTAGCCTTAGTCATGCCCTGAAGCTAATCTTGCAACCTGCATTCAGTGTTGTCTTCCACTCTTCTTATCCACATGCTCTTGGCGGCCTTCAACCCTTCTCGCGTTTTGAGGTTTCCCTTAACCTCAGTTTTCCTGAAGATGGAGCGAGCATTGTTGTGCTCCTGGTGCTTTGGGTGGGTGTGAGGTTTCTCCAGAGGGAGAAATGTTAACTTTATGTTGCTGTCAAGCTGGAAATGTTGCCGCACACCTAGATGCTGGGGCGCAGTGTATTTCTGGTCAGGGGCCCCAGGATCCAGCGCACTGAGGTTTTCTGAGGGCCTGGTGGGAGGGATTCAGAGCAGCCCTTTAATTCCCAGCAGCCCTCATGCGGGGGTTCTGTGCACGGGTGCAGCTCAGTGGGGCTGCAGGGGCTCTCTGCGGGAAGGGCCTGAAGTCCTCCATCATAATCCGGGTTTGGCTAAGGGCAGGGGCAGGCCTGCTGCCGGCTCCCAGGAGGAAGGGGGTAAGTTTGCGGGAGTGTGCACTGTCATAGCAGCCCACATTTCCGTCCTGTTCCAGCTGCTGGACGGGGGTGTTCGTGGGTGGGCGCCTCTGTGACAGGTCTAAGAGCCACCTAACAGCTCTCGCTGCCACTCTAATCTTGTAGGTGTGCAGAACTCATGAACTCACCAATCCTGGGATCTCTGATGTCAAGATCCGGCCCGACCGAAAGATCTTGGCCACCGCGGGCTGGGACCATCGCGTGCGCGTGTTTCACTGGCGGACGATGAAGCCGCTGGCTGTGCTGGCCTTCCACAGCGCTACCGTGCACTGCGTGGCCTTCGCTGCGGACGGCCTGCTGGCCGCGGGGTCCAAGGATCATCGCATTAGCGTCTGGTCGCTCTACACACGCTCGTGACTTGCCCACCCCCTGTTCTGGACCCACAGAGGACAGAGAGGTGGCGCCCATGCTTAGGCCAGACCCAGGCATGTGGAAACTATGCCTCAGGACCCCCAGGACAGCACGTCGCCGGTTCTCCTCCTTCAGTTACGAGAAGGGCTTAGTCTGTGGAGCCCTCGCTTTTTGCACGAGGCTTGTTTCCTTTTGTGAAGAACAGCATCTGTACGGCAGTGACTCTGCAGTTTGCAGTAACTGGGCCAGACGTCTGGGCGTGTGTGGCCCGGGTGAGAAGCCAGACTGGGGGTGCTTTACAGTAAACTCAAAGTTGCAAACCTGCAGGCTCGATGTATGAATTCTCCCAGGCAAACCCTCCTGTTTCCCCTCAGGGTCAGAGCCGAGTCATCCTTAGACCCTCCACTGGGCTGAGTGGCCAGCCCCCACCCAACAGGGGACACGAGTGTGGCTCCTCACCCCAAGGACAGCCAGGAGTCCTGACACAGTGCTGAGGCCAGGGTGGTAGAAGGAAGTGACTGACTCCTAAGGCAGCGAGGCAGCAGGAGTGCTGAGGGCAGCCAAGGCAGCGGGGCAGAGAAGCCATGGTTTGGGTCCAGGCAGATAGCGTTAGTGGGAGGAAGGGCCGCCCCAAAGGAATGAGACCAAGAACGGCAGAGGGCCATGTCTAGGGCGACTGGGACAGAAAGCACAGCAGCACGTATGAGACAGGCCAGGCCCCTGGCAACCCAGGCACAGTCATAGCCGGCACCGCACTCCCAGGGCAGTTGGGAATTAGCAGCCAAACCAGGCAGTGCACCCGGTCTCCTCCCAGGCGTGGCCAAGCCCCATCACCAGGGCGTCTTCTCTCTCTTTTTTTTTTTAAACTTAACAATACTTTATTTGAAATGCAGAATTTAAAAATCAGCTAATGTATCTGGTTTAAATGTTGTGAAATGTTGTGAGCATTATGAACATTTGTGGAAATATATGCAATATTTACAAGAATGGCATATATATATTAATCTAATACTAAACCGCTGGCAGAGTATAAAGGTGCAGCTACAGCCAAACCTGTGACTGGGTAGAGAGATAATGTGCTGCAGCTGGTGGTGAGGGCATCTTCTCTTAAAGCTGGATCATTGATAGGGAAGAAATAGGGTCCTTAACATTGGGATGGGGCCCTGGCTGGTTTGCCTGGTGGTTAGAGCATCAGCCCGTGGACTGAAGGGCCCCAGATTTGATTCCAGCCAAGGGCATGTACCTCGGTTGCAGGCTTGATCCCCAGCCCTGGTCGGGGTCAGGGCGCCTGTGGGAGGCAACCAGTCGATGTGTCTCTGTCATATCGATGTTTCTTTCTCTCCCTTCTACTCTCTCTGAAAAGCAATGGAAAAATATCCAGATTAAAAAAAAAAAATTGGGATGGGGGCTGTGGGCAGATCCTGGCAAAGTCCGGGCCCTCAACCCCTTTGCTCCTCTGGCTTCTTTGCCAGAAAAGCCCCTCTGGGCCCTGCTTGAGGAGGTCAGCTCCCCCTTTACAAGGACCTAGAATGGCCTCCCCATAGGCAGGGGCCTGTGGGACACTCAGGATCCTCAGCCCCACCCTGCTTTGCTTATAACTAGACTCAGGTCCCAGCAGGCCCCCAAGGGTGAGGTACAAAGTGTGACCCGTGAGGAGGTGGCTATGCTCCAAAAGAGCTGCACGGTCCTCCCAGCATATGCAGGCAGAAATCTGGAGAACACGTGTGGGATCCAGGTGGCAGGAATATGAGCTGCATCAGGCCAAATCCATTGAAACAGGTCCACAGCAGAGGGTCTGGACTCGCTGCCGCAGCTCGAGGAATTAGCAGGGCCTCCAAGGTCTTGTTGGTAGTTTGAAACATGGACCACAAGGCAGGTACACTAAGTAGGAGCCGCCCAGGGTACCGCAGAGGGGGGACCTGAGAGCTTGGGGAGATTAGGGTGTTCTAGGCAACTTACCACGTGCGACCTGCTCACCCACCTCAGAGGGTCCAGAGGACACCGGTCCCCACGACTGTGAGGAATACGTCTATGAGGGGCCTGGCAGCCTTGAAGAGCGCTGCAGTCGCTTTTCTGCACAGGTCAGAAACTACAGTGGCAGCTGCTGCCACAGAGCAGGGATCTGTAAATGCAGTGGGTCCCTAGGGCGGCAGGGCCTACTAGTGGCACTGAATTGCTAAACACAGGGTGGGTATGGTTGTCATCGTGGCTGGTGGGGTCACAGCCCCAGTCAGAAGTCTGACTCGTAGAGCGCCGGCCCGGGCTGGTGATCGTGGGCCCTGGAAATGGAATTGAGGGCCAGCCTGCTGAGCTCTGACTTGGTCTGCTGCACGGAGGTGTTGTGGATCTAGGAAACGAACATCTGACCCGGGCCACCAAACGGAGGCCTGGCGCCTCAATCACAGGCCCAGCCCCCTTGAGGAAAGACACCACTATAGTGCCGACAGTAGGTACTGCCGATCGTCCCCGGCCTCCCCCAGGGGCCTACGGCCACTCCCCAGGAACTGAGCACTATCCCCGGAAGGCAGCCCTGATCCTGAGTTCATGGGTCTCCCATGCGGGCCCGTTGGACAGAGGTGCAGCCAGGTGTCCTCCAGCACCTGAGGGAGGGACCACATGGGCCCCTGAATGTCCTGTAGCCGTGTCGCCGGGATGTTGGGGGATGTTGGGGGATGCATCCAGAGGGATTTGCACATCAGGAATGTCGGTCAGGAGTAGCTGGGCTGCAGCAATCTGAACCTCAGGGTGCGCTGTGCTCTGGGTGTTCCTCATAGGGAGCTGCCAGGTCAGAGATGACGGAGGGTGGCCTCGCCACGCCGCAGCCTGGCCCCGGCTCCCACAGGAGGCCACGCGCTGGGCAGCAGCCTTAGTCTGTGAGGCCACCTCAGAACACACGTCATCTGCCTCGTCTCTGCAGGAGGCACCACCACTCACACGGCCAAAGGCAGCAGGGTGCCAGGTGGTGGATGGTCATTTCAGAAGGTGAACCTCTGCTGGTCCTGCCCATGGCCAGCCTCATGAGTCTCGTACACACCTCCCTGACCTCCAGAGTGGTGACTGTCCTTTGGCAGAATCACTGTATTTACAGGAATAGCCAAGAAGGTGTGTTACAGACAAAGAGACAGGACGCCACAGGTCAGCACGAGCTGCTTCCAGATGCTGAGGGCAGCTGTGCATGTTGACCGCCAGCATTCTACGCCCAGAGGTGGCAAAGAGGAGGTGCTGGCGACGCAGACCCCATGTCCGTACCTGGCCTTCACCTTCATGTCGAAGGCACAAGCAGAAGCCTGCAGAGCATCGTGGGCAGCTGACTCGAGCTGGTAAGCAGTGTCCCGGGGACATCTTGTGGCCGAATCTCGGTGTATGGGGACCAAGTCAGGCTGTGACAGCCCCCCTGGGCTCTCTGCCTGATGTGGCCTCCATGCATAGCGGGGCCTCGTACTGGGCCTGGGTGGATAAGGTAGCAGGTTCCTCAGCCTCCGAGGCTTAATGGATGGCTGAGAATGTTGTTTACTCAGCTGAGCCGCTTAGAACAGCAGTGACACCAACTGTACTAGAAATACTGGTGTCCGAAGCAGTGAGGCCTCCAGGTCGTCCTCTGGGTTCCTCCTCTGTACCCACTGTGGGACCCACAGCTTTGCACAGCATGGCATCTACATCAACTGGACCTGGGGCATCCGCAAAGCCAAACAAACCTCGCACACCATGAGCAGTGGGCCCTGTTCCAGACAGCCAGACTGGGGAAGGTGCTTCATGTTTGCAAAGCTTCAGATTATCCTTGTCATGTCCCCGGGCTGAGTCCTTCCTCAAACCTGACCTAGTGCCTGGAGCTGGCTGAACTTCGGGACCCAGGTGTGCAGGGGCCCTGCCATCTGCCAGCAGCTGTGTGACCCTGTGGCGGAAGGGCTTTAGCCGGTTGCCCTAAACACCCAGGGTGGGCTGCAGAGTGGGACAGGTGCTGTCCCTGAGTCTCTCACACATGGGACAGGTGCTCTGCCAGGAGGAGCCTCAGAGTAGCTCCAAGTTTGCTCCTCGCCAGGAGGCCGAGGGTGCTCTCTCAGTTAGTCCCTTTGACATTAACTTTGGGCTCTCTTCGTTCTGGAGATGGCGTCTTTATTTCCTTTACACGAATGTTCACAGCAGCTTTATTCAAAACTAGAAACAACCAAAATGTCTATTGGCAGGTGAATGGAGATGCAGACTGTGGTCCATGCATACTGTGGAGTTCTGCCAGCCGCCAAGAGGCTCCTGGCCAGACCCTGTGGGTCGGGGGTGGGCAGTCCGCTGAGGCCACCGCAGGCCAGAAAGCTCAGCACAGCCCGGTCTGCCCCAGGCCCTTTGGGGTGCCTGCCTAGGGGGGGGTTACATGAGGCGCCCCGGGGCACCGCCCTGGCAGAAGCTGATGTGGACACGGCCTCATGATACTTTGAGTAGCTCCGTGGGGCTCAGGCGGACGACGGGAGACCTCACACTCCACGGCAAAGTTTTCTCCAGTCCCCATTTTTCCACGATACAAAAGGCCTGCTTTTCCTTGAAGATGTTTCCACAGACTCTGTGTCAGTCAATAAACCTGTCCTCGGCAGCCCAGTTGCCAGCACTGTTCCTCAACGTTAGAAGAGAGACCAGGGCTCAGGCCAGGCCTCCAGCCTCCACCTCAGGCCGTGTGGGAAGCCCCACTCCTGGTAACATACCCAGAGGCTGGCAACGCCAATGCATTTGCTGACAGGTGGTGTCTGCCTGTCCCCATGGGTGGCTCGGGGCTGGGCCGAGGGCTGGAAGGCAGTGGCATCCAGTTATGTCTGGCCCACATGCCTTTGTGTCAGATGTTTTCAGCAGGATCCTCCCTGGACCCAGCACACCCAGCCACGTCTGTCTGTGGCATCCAGGTGGCTTGCAAAATCAGCCCCATGATTGTCCCTCTGATTCCAAAGTGCATTTTATGGCTACTTTAGCTCTTAACTGAGCAACCTTCTTTGGGACTTAAATTTAAGCACTATTTCATTCAGGAGTCATTTTAGTTTTACAGTCCACGGTGGCTACACCGGGGTGATTCTGTGCCACGCACAGTGACACTGCTTCCCCAGTAAGCCACTTCCTGAGAGCAGGCAGGACCTGGGAGAAGGCAGCTGCACAGAGGCACCAAGTGGAGGAAACAGCTGGGGCGGAGTCCCACGTTTCCCCGGGACGAGCATGAAGGGGCATGTTGGGCAGGCATCGCTCGGCATGTGTCCTTGGGAGCCCTTGCACCCTTAGCAAGACGGGTCCAACCAACCCATCAGCCGAGAGACCGAGTTCGTTCACCTGTCCCTCGCAGGATCTTCATTAACATCCTTTACATCATGGGGAGGCTGCTCACAACCAGAACAAACATATATGGGCATAGCGGTAGATGTTTCTCGTATGCGGTTCCAGCTCTGGTCAGTGTGTCCTGCGGTCCTGTCCTTCCTGCAGTGTGGGCGCAGTGTGCACAGTGTGGCCGGGGTCTCTGCTCGGGGTCTTACAGGCTGCGGTCAGGTGTCAGCAGCGTGGGCACCTCTTCCAGCCCTCATGGTTGTTGGCAGAACCCAGAGCCCTGTGTTGTAGTACTGAGGCCCTCGGCTCCTGGAGGCTGCCCAGCCTCTTCATGGCCAGCAGGAGTGGCCGTGGGGTGTTCCACGGGGTGACTTTCATGGCCCAGTGTGGGGTCTGACGTTCTGCCACAAGTCAAAGCATCCCTGGTCGCTGCCTCCAGTGCAGGGCAAGGGGCCCTTCTGATCAACAGGGCAGCCAGGGCTGCAGCGGGTGCCCCCTCCAGGCCGCTTCCTCTGGAAGGCAGGCAGCTGGGCAGGGAGACGCGAGGGCCCGTAGGCCTTGGCCAGCGGCGCAGGCTGGTAAGTGGCCCAACGTGTGCACCTAGCGAGAGTGCAGCAGAGGAACCTGCTGCCAGCCCTCTTCCAGCCCAATGGCCTCCCTACCAGGTGGGTCCCACGGTTATGCCCCCCAGCAGGTGTGCAGCACTTACCAGCATCCCACTGCCAGTCGGGTTCCTCTCAGGCAAGCAGGAGGCTGAAGACGGCAGACCAGGTAGCGACCAGGGACACAGCCCGAGGTCTTCAGCATTCACCGCCTTTTCTTGTGCTTCCCGAGTTTCACAGATGGGATAATATCAGAAAGCCAAGTGCTCTGGAAATGCACAAACCCGCCTGCCCGTGGTGGTGGGTGAGCGGGGAGCTGGATGCTGGGATGCCCCGAGGACGGGCCTCTCGGGGTGCAGCAGCCGGGAGCCCTCGCTGCGCTGGCTCGGCAGGCTGGCTTTGTGCTGACGTGCGGTGCGTGTCTTTACACTCCTGAGTGAGTGTTCAATCAGGTGTTTCCCACCTGTGTCTCTGCCAAGAAGCCACAGAACACCCTCTGCACAAAAGGACTGTTTGCACAAAGAAAAAACATTCCTTCAGGGGGTTCTTTAGAAACGCTTGATATTCAACTAGCTATAACTGCATGGGAAAGCCTGGTCTTAAAGACAAGCTGGCACAGACGAAGACCTTGCATCTGAGTTTACTGTGCACCTGTGCTTCGGTGCAGACAGGCCGCCTCCCCATCCTGCAGCCCTCCATCCAGCTTGCGCCCCCTCTCCCGCACATCTCCACCTCTGCTCTGGTTTTCATGTGTTGGGGCCAGCTCAGCCCTGCCTCGACTCTGCTTCCCCAGGCCAGGGAGCAGCGGCACGGCCCTCACCAGCTTGTCCAGGAGGCCCATTAGGAGCCAGGGAGGAAGGAAGCACCTGGCCGGATGGAGCTGAGCAAGATGCAGAGGGTGAGGCGACTGCAGCTGAACAGGGCAGACACACATCTGACCCACGCAGACAGATGCCCACCAAAAGAAGTTCCATAACCATGCTTAGGGAATCCATGCCGAAAAGCATCCGAGTGGAAGATACAACCGCATACCTTACCAGCAGGGCTCAACCGAAAAAATTTAGTAAGTGCTCAGGGCTTGCACCCAACTTGGGCTCTGAGACTCTTGGAACAGATCAAGAAAGTACACCCTGCATGTCGTAACAGCCACACTTGTGCCATGGTGCCCGGGACCTTGGACCCGCGGAGCAAAAAGTACTCACTGTCTGGCCCTTCACAGGGAAAGTTTGTTGGCCCTGCCTTAAAGGGTAGCTGCTTCCCGGGCACGGGTAGATGTGGGGAATCACTGCTGCCACAAAGCCAGGATGTGTTCAGAGGTGCCAGAAGCAGCACTGAGGGTCAAGGGGCCTCCCACACAGGCCTGGGACACATGAGGCATCAGGATGACAGTCACTGTGGTCAGTTCCAACAGGTGAGACTCTAATAATCCAAGAATTCTCACTGACACATAAGAAAAGTTACCAAAAAGCATACCAGGGAAGTATTGTAATAAGGCCAAGTGTGCCTGGAGACTGCTATGGTCTGAATGTTTGTGTCCCCCCAATCCATCCCAGGTAATGGTGTTAAGAGGTGGGGACTTGAGGAGATGCTTAGGTCATGAGGGTGGAGCCCTCAAGAATGGGATTAGTGCCCTTATAAAAGAAATTCCAGAGCAATTCCTTACTCTTCCCACCATCTGGGGACACAGCCATCTATGAGCTAGAAAGCAGGCCCTCACCCAACACTGAATCAGCCTTGAACTGGGACCTCCAGCCTCCAGAACCGCGAGAAGTGAATCTCTGTTGTTTATAAGCCACCAATCTGGTATTTTCTTATAGCAGCCAGAACAGACTGAGACAAGATGCTTACATTTTTTATTGGTTAATTTATTTTTTAATTTTATTTTTTATTGAGGTAACGTTGATTTATAACATTATATAAGTTTCAGGTGTGCAGCATTATAATCGACATCTGAATGTACTACATCATGCCCCCCACCAAAGCCTAGTTTCCATCTGTCACCATACAATTGAGCCCCTTCACCCATTGCACTCTCCTTGTCTTTTAAAGATGTGGAATGGTAAGTAATCCAGTCGTTCACTCCCACCCTGTTGTAGTTACCTATTGCTGCATTAATAACCAGCCCAAACTTAGCCTCTGCACACACAGAGCCCATGGGTCAGGAAATCTGGAGGGTCCCCGAGAGGGTGGGGCCCAGGGAGTACCATCGATGCAGCCACTCTGTGTGGCTTCTCAGCATTGCGATCGCAGGGGAGCCAGGCTTCTTATGTGGGGCTCCAAGAGCTCATCCATGGAGCCCGGTGGGAGCCCAGAGCCTTCTTTGCCTGGCGCTGTATCAGAGAGGGGACACAGACCCCTCTCATGATGGAGAAAGGTCAAGGCGTTTGCAGCCTGTACAAATGAGGCTCATCCTGTGTCTCTCTGCATCACAAGAAAGGGCGAGCACAGACATCTGAGACTCCAGGACTGGGGGGAAGGAGCGAGGGGCAGGGACTGTGCACCCGGTCTTCCTGCCATTAGCAGGTGGGAGTGTCCGGCTGCCCACCCCTCCAGCCATGCGCATGACAACCCCCCCTCAGTGCTGCTGGATATGATAAAATGCTCACAGGGAAGGTGGCTCATCCCCACACACCAGGGTCATATCTCTAAATAACAGGACGGTGGGTCAGGACCTCCCATCCTCATGAAACCTAGTGAATCCCTCATCTCAGGGAGAGAAGCCAAGGGTCAGAAACTGAAAATAAATGTGAAAGAGGGGGCTATAGTTAAGAGTTCCTCACTCTGTAGGAAAGTTTTTTTTATAAAGAGAGGCTCAGTCTGAGGCCGGGACGGGCCAGCCTCACTCAATGGTGGCCCCCAGGCTCTCCTGTGCCTGGCCCAGAGCTGAGTTTCCAACGACCTGGTCGGCAGGTGGAGCCCTGCGGGTGCTAAGGACTCACCTAGGAATGAAGAACAATCTAGGGAGAACCTAAAAACAGTGCTTTTACAACCATCTTTAGCGATTCTCATGCTGTGTGTCTTTCCTAA